CTCTGCTCTGCATCTTTCTCTCAGACACATCCCTCAGATTTCTCCAAAAACATTTAGATTTGTCTTTGCTGACTAAATAATTGCAAGCTAAATAACTGAGGTCTAACAAAAATTGAACCAGAAACCTGCTGATTTAAAAATCATTCCTGTTCTTAAGCAAAAATCTCCACAACCCACATAAGTTAATTGGTTCACCTTTGTATTGTCTCCCACTCCTTTGTCTCTCTGAAGTCCCCTTTCTTTTAATCTCTTCCAGAGATTTTAAAAACAGACCTGAATGTGTTTCCTGAGTCTACTGTCTCTGTCTCTTCCTCTACTTCTTCGACTGCGAGAGAAATATTTCCATCACGCTTGATGTTATAATGATCGACCAATAGGGTCGCTCTGTCTCCCTCCCTCTCTTATTTGCTTTCTCCTTCCTCTCTCTCCTAGTCTGTCCCTCCTCTCTGTCTGTCAGCCTCCCTCTCCCTTGCATTTATACATTTCCATAATCTCTTGTTCCCCAGAGACCGATGAGGGGGCAGGGCAGGCTGCAAATGTTTTTCCTTTTGTCTGCGTTCCTCTCTCTCTCCATCTCCCTCCCTCCCTCTATCAAGCCTTTTCACTGAAGCCTTCAGTCATCCATCATTTTATAAAATGTATGTCTCTTTCATAGGGGGTGTCATTTCTTTCAATTCTCTGCTCTGTTAGCTGTTCACTCAGCATTTATTCAATTGTTCAATTTCAGTTAATATAAAAATCTGGGAGGAACAACTGCACCATAATAACACAATATACTCAAATGGCATATGTGAACGTATTGTAATTCAGCACTGTCTCACTATAGTTGGCTAACAATTAAACTGTTTATTACTTTTACTTAACTAAATCATTTATCTATTAGTTTTAACAAACTATTTCACCTGTAGTCAGTCTATAGCAATTTCATCTGCAAGCTCACTGATTTGTTTAAACTGTTTTCAACCATATGTCCCTTTATGCATCTAGCAGATATAATGCCATTCAATTGGAAGCATCTTTGTGTGCATGTGACATCTGTAAGTCCAATATTCTGTATGCGCTTTAGCTTCATTTTTCTGTCTATCACCTCCTGAGGGATTCTCTTAGTTCATCATCACGCGTGACCCTTTTCACATTTAAGCAGTCATGTGATATGTTAATATATTGATTTGGGGTGTTCATCTCACTAAGAATAAAGACACAGATCCAGTACACATTTCTTCAGTTTTAAATGTTTAGGAATCTGCTTCTTGCCATGTAAATAGCTGCCCTGCGTCTTGTCAATAATTCCCACACTCATCATGTCAGATTTCATGTACATAACCATGGCCTGTTAGGTAGCTCCCACAACAACACTGAATTATCTCCACTTTTCAGTAATTATTTTTGGACTTTTAGGTTTTTTTGTACACTGACCAACAGAAATCAGTTACTGTCAAAGTGAAAACAAAACTCTGACATTAACAACAGAAAGAATGTTGTGGTGCATGTGTCCAGCTGGATACACTGCTAGTCTCTACAGTTTCCAGACTCTGTGTTTTGTGATCTGGGTTAGTGTGTCCCGTGGTTAAGGAGTCGTTGCTGTCTATTTTGGTTCACTTTGTTGTCAGTGGCTGGGGATGCCTCTCAGATGCCTTTAGTTGTTTTATTTCTAATGCAAAGTTGGTTGTTAATCTGGCAAACTTATGACACCCATCACAGTGTGCCTATCAGTCAGTGTCCCTTCAGTGTTACAGTTGTTAGAGGGACCTTGCTCTTTATATGAGCTGCTGTCAGATGCCACAGGTGCTGAGCATTGCCAGGCAGCATTTTGGCTCCACTTTGAGCCTGTAGCTCAAAAATTCATAAATGCCACAGGATGATTAGCGTTTCTGGAGAGGAGAGAAACAGGAAGACGTAAACTGAGAAACTCTCTCATTAGTTATGGGTGTCACTTTAAATGTTAACCATTTCCAATGCTTAATGAACGCAAACCACTGGGAGAAGTCCAAAAACGGTTTCTTCCTCTGGTTTTCAAAGTCAAAATTTTGAATACTTTGTTTTCAATTAAACTATTACATTTGACGTTCATCCACAGTAAGTACATGTAAACAGCATTTTAAATGTATTCTGAAAGTGTTCCACTTATGTTCTCTGCACTTATTTATGTAAGTGTCTGTATCCATTGGGAATTAATAATGTGGATTTTGTAAAATGTGTTTCAAAGCAATGTTTGTTTGTTTTGTTTTGTTTTGTTTTGGGCTTTTTTGTAAACTTTATGATCTGTTGGTCACATGACTAATCATTGGCCTGTATAAGGAACGTGGAAACAATTCCATCATTTGACTTCTGTTCATGTTATTTCAAGACAAACTTACTGGTAGTGCTGACCCACAGAGAATATAAATCTACTGTTGTCCCATTGTTGGATTTAGGCTTCCCACTAGTGGTGATGGTAAGTTACTGCAGCTCCTGAGGTATTTTCACCTCCTTGTCTGTCATGAAACCTCCTGCAAAACCCTTGATTACTCTAGTTACATGTCAGTAGGATATACAACACAAATATAGTTTAAAAAGAAGTACAGATTTTAGATTATGATTTAATGCTTCATATTTCAGTGACAAGATAGATACTCTAAATACTTTTTACAATTGTGCTAGTCCTGTGAATGTATTTTTTTTTATCTTGTTAAAGCATCATGAAAGTGATGTTTTGAAATATACAGCAGGTGTACTAAATATTATGAACTAACATCTGGATAGCAATGAAGACTGTCAGATTTTAAATCATCCACAAGATGGCCACATGTGAGAGGCAGTGGAAGCAACAGATGGTCACGTTAGGTGTCTAATAGTGGTGCCTAATTACAGATGACTCACTCACCAGAACTGCAAGTTCCTCCAGTGGTTTTATTTGGTTTACATGTAGGCTTTGAGTCATCCATGCTAACTCATTTGATGGGGAAATTGCATCCATTTAAATAGAAGTCATTTAATCTGCAGATCCAAGATCCACAGCAGGAGCATCATGACTGCAAAGTGGCCTGAAGACTCAATAACCACAGTCACACATCCTGAGTGGCCTGAGTGATTAAGGCAGCTTGGCCACAGATGAAGCAGTGCAACCAACAGCTGAGGACAGTGTTTAGTTGGATATTATAGAAATGACTAATTATTGAGAATGGGTACAGAGCAATGTGGAAGTCATCAGCTACTGTATGCTACCAATACAGTAAAATATAAGGAAGGGTCAATTTAATGCCTCCTGACCTGCTAACCTTTGGGCCTAAATGAATTGATTTTTTTCTAATAGCTTTATTGGTCACTGAAAGAGTAAAAACATAGGTACTGTATGTAACAGAACATTCAATAGGCACAATATGTCACAGAGGCATTAAAAGGTAGTACTTAAAGTTTCTCTTTACAGAGCCTCACTGACAGGTTTACAATACCAAACTGCTTCATATTATGGTTAAAAACTGTTGTGGTCAGTAGTGCACAGATTCTGCTTGTTAAGAATCTCTTGGTGCTTCTTGTCTAACAGGATGCACTAGTCACTGAGATGCAGCAGGATTATGATGAATTTTACAACTGTTTATCATGCCATACAAACACCTATAAACGCATCATCTCAGCATATGATGCCCTTTTGGTTTGTTACACAATAAAACTATCCAGAGCATCTTTATCAATGGCCTAAGCAGCAAAGAGGCTACAAGACTTTATACTGAACCTGTCATCTGTGACAGAGCAATGCCATGCAAAAACAGCGACAATGATGCAAAAAAGTCTGACAAGCTAAAAAAAAAAATGCACTAGAGTCTGCCAAAAAAGGTAGCTCAGCAGTACAATAAAGACGTCCTTAACAACTGTGGATACAGTGCAGGAGAACAGTTACCGTAGCAACACAAACAAATCCAGTACAGTCTTCATCCTCTGAAATCAATATTTTGTTCCCTTTGAAAACTTTTCAGGTAATCTCTGTGTTTTCTGTTGCTGGTGTTCTTGTGCAGTGGCCTCTCTTTGGCATATGGTAGCACTACTTGCTGATCTGGAAGAACAAAGACAGCATGAGGACTGATATAGTTTTATATGAAACACTTGTGTCCTGTTTCAGAATGCCTAACATCAAAAAGCTAGCACAGTGCACACTGTAGGCACACATTGCAGGCATTGAGGTGCCATTACTTTGTTGAATGAACACAGGGACTGTGTGTAAAAGAAACAATCTCATACCAACTGTTACTTAGTTTTTTCTTTGCACGTAAATCAAACTGTATGTCTCAGCAAGACACAACAAAATGATTTTTTAAACAATATTGTTTCATAGCTGCAATGAACAACCCAGAAAAATGCACTAAAGCACTGGAGTCCATGGCCAGAGGGAACAGATGAAGTGGAATTCATAGAAGACCAAGTAGCTGCTTTACAGAAAATAAATTACTTCCTCTGATTACACCAACAGGAATGTCATTTTTATTAGATCAGAAAACTGGAGTACACATGCTGTCCCAGAAACATGGGCATTCTCTCACATCCCACAAACCTTTTTCTCACCAATAACATTATGGGGGGGATTGTCATTTCAAACTTTACGAGGTGTGTTGTTGACATTTTGTTTTCATCATTCAGTATTAGGGGGTCTGAGGCACTGTCCATGGTGCTGAATGCCAGTGGCTGATTCTTCACAACAAAGGTTGGATGGTGACATGACTCAAGCTGGCTGGGCTGTGACTGACATGTCTACTCATTTGGACATATTGGAGAACATGAAAATCTATGCTGTGTGCATGTGGGGAAGGACCCATCTGTATCATAGTGCATGTGACACCATACATAGCTTAACACTCCCTGTTAAGCTATGTATGGGCACAACACAGTATCACCATCTGATTCTTCTTTACAGTAAAGCTAGTTACACTTTTAAATGGAAGATCCTGCAAAGATAAAGACAAAAATGTAACTAGTTCTAAGAGTAGGTCGTGTTTCTGATCATATTCAAATTCAGAAATGTATTTAATTTCTTTAAACATGTCTGAATATACCTTAAAGTGATGAGTCCACTCTACAGGAGCAGAAAATTCCTGTGCTGCTCCTCCTTCAGTGCTTTCTGTCCCTCAGATCTCCGTCTCATCGCTTTTATTTCTCTCTGAGGTTATTTCTAATCATCCCTTCAGATGGGTAATCTACAGTGCCCACCTTTATTACAGGCAATCATCCACTAATAAAACCTAAATTAATTTTATTCAAATGAAAGCTATATTTTTTTTTTTTTTTATTTTGCAGTAAGGCTCTGTGTTGTTTTGTCCAGTCACACTGTTGTGACAAGTCCACAGCTAGTGGATGCTTTTGGTTAGAGACATTCACCTACCCACAGTTCTGACCTGAACACCTGAAAGGTCTGTTATTGCAGTTAATAAGCAAAGAGTAAATATACTTTAAACTGAGTGAGCATGCTAATTCTAATATGCTAAATGTTAGATGCTAGATAGTTACAGTGAATAACTGTAAATGTAAATACTGACATATTACCTGTGGGTGTGTTAATATTCTAACATTAGGATTCAGCTAAATGCAGTTTAGCCTAAGTAAGAAGTACTGTATAAATGAATCTATCCACTGTATAAAGGTGGTCCTACAATTCCCATAATGCAACTCAGTAGTATTTTCTATTAGATCTCTGGCTGTTAAACACCGTCATCTGTCAGATTTCATACCTCTGGTTTGTTCTTCTGTCATTTGAAGTCCTAAATCAAGACAACCCCACTGACATCACTCTGGCATCATGAGGGTTATTTTGTCCAGCGCTACAAAAGAAAGTCCATTCATGACAAGGACATTTACTTTTATGTTAATTCTGGCACAACCTAAGACCCAGTTTAACTTTTTTTAACCCCACTAGTGGAAAGAACAAACACGGCAAAGTTCTTTATCCATTTCTACCAGTCCAAGAATGTGGTTTGATAGTGTGTTATGGGCAATATGAACTGGACTAATAAAACCGGACTGTCAACCTTTATGCTTTTACTTTGCTTTTTTAAATTTCAGTTTTTGTTTTTCTGACCCAGTTCCTTGTTTACTTACCAGTCTTATAATAACGTGTATCATGAATTTACATAATATAAATTATTTCAGGGCAAAACGTGTGTGATGCGCAGCCAGGAGGACCAGCCGTGCGTGTAGCAGTGATTCTGAACGTCTCCTCCCCTGTTTCTGCAGTGTTACCGCTTTCCCTTCTCGCTCATCGTTTCTTGTGCCAGTGCCGTCCACCGCAAGAGTAAGACAAGCCTCCCATTTGCATAACATCACACACCACTCTTTCTTGTCTGCCACCATCCCTCTGCTTGATATCCATCTTGTCCTGATCCTTGTGGTGTGTGGTCTGTCCTCTCAATCTTTCACCATTCATTCACGCCTACTCTCATGTGCAGTCTAGGCTCTTTGCGTTTTCCAGTTCAGAGAGAAAAGCAAGGGAATTTTTTCCACTCAGTTTCCACAAATTGACAGTTTGGAGGAATTTCTGACTGATACAAGCCGGACGAATGAGAACAGAGACATTCGTTTAATTGATTTTATGCAACAACAAGCGCACGTATCCAGAGACGATAAAGCTGAAAACGCACTGTGGTATTTGAAAAATTACTTAGCTTTGCGGAGGGTGTTGTCACCGTGGAACAAAGGGACAGTGTTAAGTTTGCTGAGGACCTGTCAGAAAAAAAACCAGCGAAGCACTGGGGAAAGCTACGCGTCACATCCAAGACATCAGCGCAACAAGGCAGCAAGCACCATTACACCAGCCTGCTGTGTGAATGGCACACGGGAGTCTTCCTCTGCTGAGCTGGTGCAGCGTAGCCGCGCTGTGACCACGGTCCAGGGTTTTCTGTGAGTATCTGGGGGACCACTGTGCGCACCACACTGACCGCTCTATTTTTCTCCCGTGCACAGCCTACTGATGGGGTAATAGGCGTTTTCCCTGCACCTGTAATGTCCAATAATCTGGCTATATGAGAACCCATTTGTAACTTAACATTTTAACATTCCGTCTTGAGTCTGCAATAGTGATGATTTATTTGTATTTTTACTCCAGCTGCTAAATCTACTGGCCCACATCTGGCTTTTAAAACTCTCTTTACAATTCCTTACTTCAAGATAAACCGTCTTTCCACGGAGCATTTTGAAAGTGAGGTTCATCTGCTAAGGCCACAAGTTCCACCTTGAGCAGGTGAGTAATGCATTGCCTTGGAACATTCTAAACAGAACATATATACTAATGTATATAGTATATGTATATGTACTATATGTATAACTGAATGAGCAGCTTGGTTTTCCCCATTATGTTGGGATCTAAAGTTTACACCTGCATGCAGAAAACCAGTAGTCTTTGCTATTGATTTCTGCTCATTGATACTGTTTTGCGTTTTCTGCTAACAGTCAGTTTCCTTTTTTGTTTACATGTTGTCTGCTTCATTTTCCTTCTATGTATCATTTTTATGTCTTGTTATTCCTAATAGAGTATGACATCTATCAGCAGTCTCATTACCAATGAGTCTGCCACCCTTTGATAAAAACACCGTCTCATAAAACAGGTGCTGGCATCAAAGTGTTGGCTCATTATGTACAAGTGTTTTCTTGTCAACCTGAGACCTCCGCTTCTCAAACAGGAACACTTTTGAGGAGTAAATCATCAAAATTGCATTTGGCTCAGAGAAACTTTTACATATTTGGGTAATTTTGAAATAATTGAACATACATGACATAGCAAAGTGGCACCTTGCTGGGCATGTCACTAGTTGAACTGAGGTAAAAAAAGAATCAATGTTAAACATCAGCAGTACAGAGAATTGTAGTTTTGTTGCTGAGTTCCAACAAATGTCTTTGCTAAGGCTCAGGATTTCCAAACTATCAGAGTCAGCTGAAACCCCTTTAACTAAAAATCCCTGCATTCTTTGGGGAAACAACTGGGTGCCTCTAATAACCTGTTGCTCCCTGGTGATCTCACTGGGGAATGTATGTAAGTGAAGAGTGGATGACACCAATAGAAAGACACTTTTTGTCTTCATATTATTGTCAAACAACATGTTTCAGTCCTGTATTTCCACCAGTTGGAGAGCTTGCTTTTACCATAGTAACGTCACCCACTCACAATTTGTGTAGGGTTATTTTTCAAATGAAAGCAATATTAGGTTTTTTTATTGTTGCTGAAAATGAACAAATGATGTGATGACTGATATTGCTCTGGGATATATACTTTCCTCTAAATTACTCATGCACAGTCTTGTACCAGTGACTTTAAGATTATGGATTTCAGACTGTGTATCAAAAATGTCTGCCATTCCTTTGTTGAACATATATAGATGTTGTGTTTAATTTTTCTCTGGTTCTTCGTGCTTGTAGCAGGAGTTGCTGTCCATAGTGCTGATCTGGCTGATTTCACTCAGTCTAATGAGCAGACAGGTGCTGAGTTGTGGCATAAAGACATTGTTGCACAAATACAAAATTAGTAATTTATTTATAAGCTAACAGAAAACCAAATTTCTACAGCTGCACTGCACTACTTTATTTTGTATAGTCTTTATGGAAATGGGTTAAATGTGCACTTTTGTTATTCGGCTCAGATCAACAATTGCAGCTTTTCTCTGCTGCATGTCAATGGGAGCATGTGCTCTACATAAGGCATTGTCAAGTCTCTTCTGCTGTAGGTGTAACATATATTTGACATAGATAGGGCCTAAAAATTTTAATTAGGTTAAATTGCTTGCCATTTCCTCCCTTCTGTTTTTACTGTTCACTTTGATCTTTGTGAATTCTCCAAAGAGCATTGACCTGTAGTCTCTGAATTTGACGCTATTGAGATGGCAATACTACTGCCAAAAAATTATGTTTTGCACATAAAAATATATAAGACAGACTGGATTTGAGAGGCATGGTGCACTTCAGGAGATCAGGGCTGTTTCTCCTTCAAATAATATTAGAATCTATTGTATATCAAGAGGTCTGATCTCAGAACAGCTCAGAAATGCTGCTCTTTTCTTGTTATACTCATTGTCAGTGAAGAGTATTTTTGGAATCCTATCCAACTTGACAGTACATGGTGGACTGAGTCAGCTGTTCTCTTAATACTACAGGTGCAGAGGGTAACATTTATATTGCTACTTAGAACATAATGACTACATTATATGTGTGGGAGTTTGAGAGGGGAGTTCAGTACCAGTGACTCAGCGATTAGCAGTTGCCAATATTTTTAGCTACCAAACTCGGACCAGCCAAACTGTTGGATCCCACATCATTTGCATACAAAAGAGCATGACTGTGAGGATTTGTGTGATGTTTACCCTTTCCTTATAGAGGTTAGTTCAACAATAGAAATCAGAATGATGAACATCTCAAGTAACCAATATGATGATCTGATACTCCTTTTACTCCTGTCTCTCAGACGTCGCCATGTTGCTGCACAAACAGATGCTGAGATGCACTCCACGTGTGACCCCATATATGTCCATCTCTCTTCTGCTGGTTCTGCTCCCGGGAGTCACTCATTTCTCCCATGGCACTGCCAGCTATGAAGATACTGGCAGCACATTAGGCAACTGTTCCAGTGAAGATAACTGCTCTGATGGTGTGGTGCTTCCCATGTGGAACCCCCAAAACCCAGCAGTGGGTGACAAGGTGGCACGCGCCATTGTTTACTTTGCAGCTCTCATATACATGTTCCTGGGCATGTCCATCATTGCAGACCGCTTCATGTCTTCTATCGAGGTCATCACATCGCAGGAAAAGGAAATCACAATCAAGAAGCCTAATGGTGAAACGACAACAACTACTGTGCGCATCTGGAATGAGACAGTTTCTAACCTGACCTTGATGGCATTGGGTTCATCAGCACCAGAGATCCTGCTGTCTGTCATTGAAGTGATTGGCCATAATTTTGAGGCTGGAGCTTTGGGTCCCAGCACCATTGTGGGCAGCGCTGCATTCAACATGTTTATTATTATCGCTATCTGTGTCTATGTGGTGCCAGAAAGTGAAACCCGCAAAATAAAGCACCTGCGGGTGTTTTTCGTTACTGCTGCCTGGAGCGTGTTCGCCTACATCTGGCTGTATCTCATCCTATCTGTGTTCTCCCCAGGAGAGGTGGAGATTTGGGAGGCCATCCTCACCTTCCTTTTCTTCCCTCTCTGTGTGCTGCAAGCCTGGATTGCAGACCGGCGCCTGCTCTTCTACAAGTATGTCCATAAGCGTTATCGTGCTGACAAGTCCCGTGGCATTATCATTGAGTCAGAGGGTGATGCCATGTTCACTAAAATGGACTTGGAGATGGACGGCCAGGGCATGAACTCCCATACTCACCCCAAAGAGGCTCTGGATGGGATGCTGGAGGGGGTGGAGGAAGGTGGAGGAATGACCTCAGAGCAAGATCAAGAGGAAGAGGCACGACGGGAGATGGCTCGCACTCTGAAAGAGTTAAAACAGAGGCACCCAGAGAAGGACATGGAGCAGCTGATTGAGATGGCCAACTACCAAGTACTGGTTCAGCAACAGAAGAGCCGGGCCTTCTATCGCATTCAAGCAACCCGCATGATGATCGGAGCTGGGAACATCCTGAAAAAGCATGCTGCAGACCAGGCTCGGAAGGTGGTGAGCTGTCATGAGGCCAGTGGGCAAGAGGAAGATCCCAACACTGTTTACTTGCAGTTTGACCCCTCTCACTACCAGTGCTTTGAGAACTGTGGCTCACTAAAGCTGTCAGTGAGCCGGCATGGAGGACAAAGTGGCTGCACTGTGAAGGTAAAATAATGATAGAAATATTATAAATGTTCAAGGTAAATCTAAACTCAACTTTAACTGCTTGGGGCAAAAATATGAATAATTCAGCATTAATGTTATCATTAAACATTTACTAAACTTTCTTCCTTTTGCTGTGCCACACAGGTGGACTACCGTACAGAGGATGGGACTGCCAATGCAGGCTCAGACTATGAGTTTGCTGAGGGTACACTGGTCTTCAAGCCCGGCGAGACGACAAAAGAATTTACTGTTGGCGTTATTGATGATGACATATTTGAAGAGGATGAGCACTTTTATGTGCGCCTTAGTAACCCACGTATCGTGCACCGAGCTGAGGTCTCCATCCTAGAGCCAAGCTTTATCACATCCAGCAACAGCATGGTGGCCATCCCCTCCCACGTTCCTCCAAAGGCAGCCCTGGGCAATGCTCACACTGCCACGGTTACCATCTATGATGATGACCACCCTGGCATTTTTACATTTGAGAGCAACTCCACCAGGGTCAGCGAGAGTATCGGCAACATGCAGGTGAAGGTTCACAGGACATCCGGGGCGAGGGGGAAGGTGGCAGTGCCTTACCACACCACTGAGGGCACTGCCAAGGCTGGGGAGGACTACGAAGAAGTGTCTGGCAAGCTAGAGTTTCAGAACGATGAAACCATGTAAGTGGTGTGTGATGAGATGTCTTGATGTTGCTGCTCATCACTTGATCAAGCATCACAGCCCACACATTGATATGTCAAACACTCCAGCTAGATTACTGTAGGTTGTCTGTTTACCCCCTAAAGGATCAAAAGACTCTTTTTGTGAGTCATAGATATATTCACTCTGAGAAGTTTAGTTCTTTCACAGGGATGATGTGGGAGGATAAGAGGATATAATTGTGAGGCAGATAATGAAACCATATAAAAGAAGAATAACAATGAGAAGGAGAAAACATGCAGAAGCAGGTTTCTATGAAAAAATGCAGAATTACCATGCGATCCTTAGGGGGGTTTATGCAGGTTATATGGGAATTTACTGCATTAAAGAGCAATAAAAACTACACTGCAAAGGAACAAAGGAAGTGTGTGCGAGCAACGGAGTAGAGGAAGAAAATCAAATGGGTGATGAGGGGGAGGGGAGCAGGGTTGAGCAGCTACTGAAACATGTTATGAAGCCTGTGTGATCATTTTAACTACAGCATTCACAGATGCACCAACAGAGAGGTAGATAATAAGAGCAGGGAAGAAGCATTTTTATGTATGTATATTTTAGTATGACTGTCTGTTTTGCATTGCTGTACAGGTGTGTTTGTCGCATTGCTTATGCACATGTATTTGTGCATTTACTGGCTCTTCTGTGTGTGCATATCTAAGAGGGTACATACAGTAGGTGTCTGTCTGTGGCTAAATCCATTAAACCCACATCAAACACAATGCTGCTCCAAAGGGGAACTAAAAAGAGGTTCTGGAGCATCCTAAGCAATTAAAGAGAGTGAAGAGGTGTTAAATGAGTCCCAAACGTTCTGAGCATAGTGCAGAGCTACAGAAGCTGCAGTTAATAAGATAATAGTGCGTAACAATGTGAAATGAGAGGCAGGTGGCTTATCTGCATTCAGATGGAGATTGAGCATTAAATAACATCTTTACTTACCGAGTCCAGACCGTGGTCATCAAACTGGAGCAAGCTGATAATGACACAATTAAGCCAACTTCAAGTTTACACTGTTTGGATTAGATCAACAAGAGGTGTCACAGAGTTTATATTATGTGGAGTCATGCTCCCATAGAGTTTATATTATGTGGAGTCATGCTCCCTGCAACAGCTGCTGTGCAGCAGGAGAGGAAGGACAATGGTGAGCAGGATCCAGAAGAGCACTTTGCTACCAGAAAACTGATAAAACGAAAACCCAGACACAACAAAGATGCAACTGTGCTCAACTGCTCCTTTGCACCTTTGAGCTGCAAGCAAGGACTTGAAGGAGAATGCAGGAGTAGGTGCAAAGACTTCACTCAGATCTGGAGTCAGAATCAGCATGTGCAGTTGGGTCAAGTCACAGCAGCTTCCTTGACATTTTAGAAGCTGAATATTGAATCGAAGATACCTGCTATCAGAGAGTTCAAGACATTTTATTGCTATAAATGGGCATCTTTCACTTAATCTGCTACAGACTAAAAGCTGGTGTACACTGTTGAGCCATTAAGTTGAAGATCTCAGATGAACAGATGGCTGCCAACAGGCTCACATTTTGTTCTTGCTTTATCCTACTCAGATGTTCGAGTCAGACTAAATCTTTTATGAGGCTGTTTAATTTGGAGCACTCACTCAATCCTGTTATCAAATGCAGATGAAGCACCATCACTACGGGGTCATCTTAAAGCATGTTGAGTTTGTATCTACGTGTGGATTGTTGTCCCTGAGCTGACAAGTTCACACATGCTCTGTGTTAAATGTATGTCTGTGCTCCATATCCAAATTTCATCCTTCAGACAGAGCTGGCTTTTCCTAACAAAATATTCCCCTTGGTAGGACAAATGGTTGACACAGCATCTGTCCTCCAGGTAGCTGTGTGTGTTTGTTTAAGTGCCTATAGTTTTGACGCTTGTGTGTAGCTTCGTCTTGTATCTGTTTTTGTTAGCACCACCAAATGGGTGGCACTATACACTAGCTGAGGCTGAAAGGGATAACGGGGGCAGTTACATAAGCTAAGATGAAAGGGATGTGAGGAGATCATTTCTGAAAGGAGAAATCAATACCCTGGTGTTCTCTAGTTCTCTTACCTAATCCAGGACCTTCTCATATATGTGGATAAAGGAGGAACAGCAGAGTCAGAGAGGGGAGACACATTCAGAGGAGTTAAAACTCTCCCCTGTAGATGCTTCATGGTAGAAGAAAAGGTTTGCTCCATTCAAGTAGCAATGATTCTTCCTTTTGTTTGACATCTTGTTTTATCTCATATTATTATGAGAGCCAAAGTCATGATGCCATTTACGAACTAGCCTCTGTTCCACTAGCTTTTGTAAAATATGAAGAATAGTCCTCAGATTTTCTTTACATATTCTAGCAGTACTAGTGGCAGCACAGGTACTTAATGCCACCATAACTTGATGTATTCCATGTCTATAAAACTTACTATTGTAAGTGTACTTTTCTAAATCGTTTTTCAACGTTCTAGTTATCATTTCTGCTGTCTGACAAGTCATCTCAGTCCTACTGTTATTACAGACATGTTAGTGCACCTGACATATTGTCATGCATGTTTCACTCATTCACTCATTGCCCCTAGTGGCTTCATTTTTGTTAGGGTCTCAGGAGGACTGGAGCCTTTTCCAGAAACGTTGAGGGTAAAGGCATAAAATCACACAATCTGCCTGTAGGCAGTTTGGCATCTCCAGCCCTCATGACTTACTGTATATGTCTTTTGACCGTGGGAGTAAACTGGAGCATTCCTTCCAGACCAGTGCAGAATGTTAAGGTGAGGGAAACTCAACATAAAAATGCTTTGAAGCTACTTTAAGAGGCTGTTTGGTCCTTCTCTCTAGATGTGACAGTTTGAACCACAGCACCACCTTTTCTCATGTTAATCTAGGTTCATCAAGATAATTAACTTTACAGACAAACCTTATATATATTTTACAAATTCAGATGAGATACCTTCTACAGTTCTATAAGCACTTAAAAAAAGAGCCTTGCAGACTTTCTGCAGTGTATTGCACTCATGCAGCAGAATTTACAGTTCGTTCAGATGGAAGCGAGATTGGTCTTCAGAGCAGGGTGTGATACGTAGCTACTATGACGTCAAAAGCTATGCCAGGGATGGAGAGATGGCTTGCTCACTCCAGCTTTATCTACCATATAGATATGACAGTGGTATCGCTCCTCTCATCGAACTCCCAGCAGCTAAATGAATAAGCATATTTCCCAAAATGTAAAACAATTCCTTTGTTTATTAGCTTATTTGCTACTAGCTGGTCTAGTCTTGCAAGACCAGACCTCAAACCAAACACATTTCTTAAATCCAAGAAACCCAATTAAAATATTGTTTCAACACTGTAAATGGACATCAGAGTTGATTCGAGTATGTTTATTTGTGTGTTATAGTGCAGGTTTATTGGACATTGCTGTGAGGTCAGACTTCTTGCATACTGACTTAAGCAGAATCACAACCAGTCTGCAATGCTCAGCTACCGTCACCTTGCCATTAGCTGAATTTAGATAGTTTATAGCAGAAACTAGTTTTTATTTATATTTTTGATCATTTCATTGAACCAGATAATTATTGCAATTTCACTGAGGCTGCTCATTTGTTGTAATTATAGTTCAATCAGGTGAACATAATATTCATTCAAATGCTGAAAATAAAAAAAATGTAGAATAAAACATAAAAAACATTAAAAGAAGACATATTTATGAAACAAATTAACAATAGATAGATCCCAACAATACACAAGTTAATCTTGTGTGTTATCATCACCCACATTTTATCTGAAATGCGTGCCAATGAACATTAGACTCTGGCAATGGTTGAGATTTAAACTGCCACCTCATCAGCCTGGTGCAGTATGTGGAAAGGTTTGAGTCACTAGTACAAAAAATAAAGTTCTGTGGGTTTCAACTGTGTTTGCTGGCACAACGTGAATTTTTACATTTGTAAGTGGTGCTTTTGGCATCATTTCATTATTGCTGTTCCCTGGCTATTGATATGGAACTATGGATAGATTATATAGTACGTCCATGGATATATCCTGTTCATCTTGATGCAGTGCAGCAGGACATAAATGGCATTTTTCCATAGCAACTGAAAAATCAGATTTTATTTTAAGGCCTCTCTGTCC